CCTGATCCCCTTCTAGGCATACAGGCCCGCTTTTGAGCTGCCTGTACCTTCCCCACTTCCATTTCATATCCCGATTTTACAGCAATTTGCACAACTTCTTTAGTGGACAGAAAATAAAAATCCTCAGGGTCGCGTAAGGTTTAAAGGGGGGCTCTTGCAATGACTGCAATACCCACGTCTTTCTGCCTAACCCAGCCCTGACCTTCCTACCTGGCTCAAGACTTCCCGAGGGTCAGCTACATGCCAGGAACTGTGCTAGATGCTCCAGATACAGCAGTGGGTCCCGATACATTCAGTCAAGGTCCAGCCCTTGAGAAGCTGGACAAAGTAAACAGACAACTGCAACAAACGGTTATGGACTGCGATAAATATAATGAAAAAAGGAAACCAGGTGCTACGATGAATTACAGGGGAGTGGGGAAGGGGCCTCTACCAAGACTGGGAAGGCAAATTTAAGGTGAGACCTAAAAAATAAGAAGAAGCAGAGCCAACCCAGTAGAAAACCCTAGAAGAACATTCCAGGCAGAGAAAATGGCACAAGCAAAGGCCAGGGCAGGAACAAGCTTCTGGTGTTCAGGGGGCAGAAGTGATTCAGACATGGCTATCAGGAAGAATGCAAAGGGGCAGTGGTCAGGGTAAGGCTAGAGGAGGTCAATGGTGGCCAGATCATGGAGAGTCTGATCAGTAAGCTTTGAAATTTTATTCCAAGTGCAACAGGGAGCTATCAAGGGTTTTAGAGGAATGTGATTATCTAATCACTATTTTTCTAAATCATTCTTGTTGCTCTGTTACAATAGATTGGAGGTGGGCAAATGGGAATTTGGAGAAAGCAGAAAGCTACTACAGCTTTTGGGCAAGACATGAAAGGTGGCTTGGCCTGGGTCAGTAGCCTGGGGCCATAGCAGTGAGTCTGAGCATGAAAAACAGGCCTGAGATAGATTTTGCAGAAAAAGCCAAACGGACGTGCTGTTGGACTAGATGTGGGGATGGAGGCAAAGGGCGGAGTTGGTGCCACCAGCTGTATTTACAGGTGGGTGGGTTATGGGCCGTTTAGAGAGATGGGAAGGCCCGCAGAGGGTCACATCTGGGGAGTGCCGTCAGGGTTCTGTGTCATCCATATGAAGTTTTCATACCTACGAGACATCCAGGACACCCTAAACCATCGGATGGGTGGCTAGATAGAGAAGCTGGGGCTGGTGACAAAATCTGCTACTTAAGATCATGAGAAGGAAAATGATGTACATTTAAGATCAGTGTGTTTGTAAATTAATGCTTGATTTTATAAATCATAAGAATGAGAGCTGGGAGGATAGGTAAAGAGCGGGAGTCATGACAGAGGAGGGGCTGAAGACAAAGCCCTGGGATCCTCCAACATTTAGAGTTGAGTGAAGGAGTTGTCCCCAAAGATGACTAAGGAAGGGCTAGCCAGGGAAGGAGGAGGAAAACCAGAAGTCAAGAGAGGATATTGATTCTAAAGAAGAGAAGATCAATAAGACCCAGGGGGTCAAGGAAGACCTGCTTGTGGGAGCGTGGAAATCACCGGAGACCTTGACTGGGGCAGTTTCAGTGAAGTGCTAGGACTGAAGCGAAGGAATGTGCTCCAGAGAAACAGGTGCAGACAGCTCTTTGGAGAAGTTCTGCTGTGCAGAGAACTGGAGAAGTAGGTCTGTAGGTGAGGGAAAATGAAGAGTGAAGGCAAAAAAGGGGGGGGGTGGCTATAAGTAAGGGAAGGAGGGCATCAAGGTGTGTTCTTATCCTGTTGCGAATGATCCAGGAGAAAAGAAGCCACTTCTAACACTGCACAGAGGGGAAGTAATCCAAGAGTGTGGGTCAGGGAGCGAACCACCTTGGAGCCCAAGTGGCGGCCTGGGCCTGTGGCAGGAACTGAGATGCTTCCTCCCCCCTCACAAGAAGGAAGGGGGGGCAGAGGCGCCAGATTCACGGCACACACTTTCAGATGCATACCTACCCAACCCTCTGTTCATGCCCACTCCAACAACCCCTGCGGCACCTGCTTGCCTGCTGCTGTCTCCAAACACCAAGTTGCCCCCCACAGACTGCCACGGGATGTGTCACCACCAGCCGGGTCTGCAACCTGTGGGTACATCTCACCATTCGTGCCAGCCACTGCACTTACCTCACGGGGGCTCTGCCTCTTCCTAGGGCTAGCTCTGAGGGGGTCCACGCGCCCCTCACCTGCCCTACCAGAGCCCCAGGCCCCAACCCCAAGGCAGTGGCCTCTCTCAGCCCCTCCCCCCAAAGTGAGCACTCAGTACACCCTACCCGTTTCCCAGCCTGGCTCCCCATTTGGCCCTTCTGAGAGAGCTGCTCCCCACCCTGCCCGCCGCCACCCCCCCTCCTCGAGACCACCCGGAGAGCCGGAGGAGGGCGGGCGGCCCAGCCTCTCCCGGTGTCCCGGCCGTCGCCCCGGCGCCTTCTCTTCTCTCCCCAGCGCCCACCCCCTGGACCTACCGAGTCGCCGCGGGGCGTCGGCGCCCGGCTTTGTCTGCGCCCACCGAGCGCGCCCGCCGGGCGCCCGGGCGCTCCCCTGCCGCACGCAGCTCCGGGGGTCCCGCCTGCCCTGCACCCCCGTGCGCTGGCCTGGCCTGCGCAGCCCCCGCCCCGAGATCACCCCACCCGGCCGGACCACCGCTTCCCCGGACGCAACGGAGGGGAGCGCGGCGCCCACCGCGGTCCGCGAGCCTCCCCGGCACCGCGCACCGCAGCCCTCCCGCCCGAGCGCCGCGCTGGCCGCAGCAGCCCGGGGCCGCTGGAGCCCTCGGGGCCCCTCACCCTCCCGTGCCGGCCGCAGCTCCTGCCGGCGCGAGCAAGAGCTGGGGGCCGGGGGGCCGGGGGGCCGGGGGGCCGGGAGAGGGGGCCGGGAGCAGGCGCGCGGTACCTTTCCCTGCTGAGCCGGGGAAGTGAGTCTGCGGCGAGCGGCGCTCCAGCCTCGGCCTCCTCCGCCTCCCCTCCTCCTCCAGCCGCCTGGCTTCCTCCTCCAGCCGCCGCCGGGACCGTAGGGGCCCGAGCCAGCCGCCGCGGCCTGTGTGGGGCCCCGCTCCGCCTCGCGTCCCCGGCCCACCCCGCTGGGTCCGCCCGGGCCCGGCCCCCAGCCCCGCCTCGGGGCGGGGACGCGCCGAGCTCCTCCCCGGCCCGGCCCACCGGGGGCGGGGAAGCTGAGGCAGCCCGAGCCGAGGACCGCCGGGCCCCCGCCTTCAGAGCCCCAGGCCCAGCGCTCCGCACCTGGGCCCGACACCTCCTCCTCTAGCTGGGAGCCAAACGTCCCCACTCAGCCCCAAAAGAAAAGCAGCCAGCCCAGCCCCGGCAGCCCTGTGCTGGGCGTAACTCGGGCCAAGGCTGCCTGCGAGACGACCCGCGGAGCCAGGACGCGGGCCTCAGTTTACCCGCGGAGCTCAGAATCCTGCTTTTAGAGGGAAGGGGCGCCCCTCTCTCCTCCTGGAGCTGCCTTCGCTCGCTCATACTCTACACTGGATCTCAGTTGGGATCAGAGGGCTCGTCCCCAGGGGCCACAACCAATCTAATTTTCTCTTCAACACGGGTGCCTCCACTGCCACCCGCCACCACCCCACCACCCGCCACCACCCCACCACCCGCCACCACGCCTCTGAGACATCCGCGCCTCACTCTCCAACCCTAGACAGTAGGGGGTCGGGGCAGGGGGCTCTCAAACAGCCACAGCCCGTCCCTTCGCCGCCCACTGAGCGGAAGTGGCCTTTAAGAAAACAGTCTTCACTAGTGCCCACTGCCTCAAACTCGATTTCATAAACCGGAGCAAGTAGGTGTGAGGGTCACTTTTTCTTTTCTTTTAAAAATCATAGTTATTTGGAAATTATTTGCTTATTCGCTATTTGAGATTCTGCAAGCACTGCTCTGGTCCCTTGTACAGTTTTTCATTTGTGCTCTTTTAAGGGGTGAGGTCAATTGGTCTGGTACCATCTCATTGTTTAATTCTGTGAGCATCTCCAGGGCCTCCTGGAGCTGATTAGAGACACAGTCCACCCAGGCGGAAGCGTTGGGTGGAAGCCGGGCCTCTCCCCTGAACTTTCAGGCTGAGGAGGGTGCCTCACCTAACCTAGACCCTACAGGGGACCCACCAGGCCCCACTGCAGAGCATAGGTCCACATGGGTGGAGGCCAGGAGAGCAGAGGTGTCCCTACAGAAATGGGGTTTGATGCTCCCCTGCAAGAGGGACCCATGTGAGTATAGGCTTCAAGACAGGGACATGGTGAATTTTTTTTTTTAAGTTTTTATTTATTCATTTGAGACACAGAGATACAGAGAGAGAGAGAGCATGAGCAGAGAGAGAGAGAGCATGAGCAGGGAGAGAGGCAGAGGGAGAGGGAGAAGCAGGCTCATCGCTGAGCCAGGAGCCCGATGTGGGGCTCGATCCCAGGACCCTGGGATCATGACCAGAGCCGAAGGCAGACGATTAACCATCTGAGCCACCGAGGCGCCCCGGACATGGTGAATTTTAGGTGAAGTTCCTTCTCAGCAGAAAAGTCCTTGTCATTGCCCAGGCTAGTCCCTTCACCGAGAAAACCTTTCTGCCGCCTCTTGACCAACCCCCATGTCCTCTTGGAGTTAAAGGTCAGGTTAAATGTCACACCTTCCTCTGTGAATCCTTCCCTGTCACCGAAGAAGCAGGTTTCTGAGTGGGCTCTCAGAATTAGATTTCCTGGGTTTGAATTCTGCCTCCATGTGGCCTCCCTGTGCTTCAGTTTCCTCATCTGTAAAATGGGATTAATAAATAATACCTATTCCAAAGAGTCGTTGTATTAAATAAGAATGTTAATATGGACTTGACGAATGATGGAAAACTACTCAGACTGGCTTGGTGTCAGCAAATAGGACATGCATACGTTCACGTAAGAGAAGACGCCAATGGTCTGCCTGATCCGGGTACAAAGAGGCTTTAAAAATATCATCAAGACTTAGTCTTCCCCTCCTCGTCTCTCTTCTCTGTTCCTTGCTGTGGCAAGATGGCTGCCGGCAGCGTAAGTCCCACCCTCACAACCCAAGTCCTCATTTCTTTCAGCTGTCCCAGCAAAAAGCCAAGGTTACACCAAGTTGGCTCCGCCTGGGTCACATATCATTGTTTGGGCCTGAATCACATGCCCAGCCCTGGAGTCGGTCCATTCCAAACCACAGAGATGCGGAGTGAGGAAGGGTGATGTCAGGGCACTGTTTACAATTAGAAGGTGAATGGGCCCGGAGCTGTGTGCCAAGCACACAGGGAGTTCACAAAAAATATATATATATATATTTGGCCTTTGTTGAGAGCCTTCATCATATTTCAGGGGTGCCCAGTACCTTTTGAACACCCTTCTGTGTTTGGGGAACTTCCCATGTCACGAATCCTGCGCCCCCTCCTCCAAAGCCAAAAATGCTCTTTCCTAGTCTCCTCTGCAGCGGGGGTGCTGGCTTCACCCAGGCCCTGCAACCAGATGCACCACGGAAGATTTTTCTGCGGAAGTGAGCAACATGAGGAAACAGGCGGCACCCAGAATCCGTTGGGGGGGATGGTAGCAAGGACAGCACCGGAGGCATCTGGCTGTAGGGACAACTGTGGCAGAGGTGCTAGAAGACTTGCCAAAGTCCGTTTCAGTTGCCGATTGCTGCCTGACCACCCTCATAACTTAGTGGCTTAAAACAACAGTTTCTTATTTCTCAATTCTTTGGGTTCACCGGGCTCAGCTAGACAGTTCTTCCGCTGCATGTGCTGTTGATTAGGGACAACAGCTGGAATCTTGGCTGGGTCTGGAACAATCCAAATGGTTTCTGTCTCGATGGGACCTCTCCTGCAGAATGGCCTGGACTTCCTTACAACACGGCAGCCTGGCTTCTCTCTGGGGTGAAATGGAAGCAGCTTACATTTGGAAGCAGTATCAGCATGTGGTGAGGATTAAAAAGAACAAAGGATATAAAAATTGATGACCTAGGCCCAGAAGGGCCATTTCATTATTTCTACCTCATTCTGTTGGCTAAAGAAAGTCACAAAGCCAGCCCAGATTCAAGGGGAGGATAAACGGACTCCACCTCTTGATACAAAAGGTGCAGTGTTGTGTTAGTTTGCTAGGACTGCTGCGACAAAGTCCCACAAAGTAGGGCGCCTGGGTGGCTCAGTTGGTTAAGCGACTGCCTTCGGCTCAGGTCATGATCCTGGAGTCCAGGGGATTGAGTCCTGCATCGGGCTCCCTGCTCGGCGGGGAGTCTGCTTCTCCCTCTGACCCTCCCCCTTCTCATGTGCTCTCTCTCTCATTCTCTCTCTCAAATAAATAAATAAAAAATCTTTAAAAAAAAAAAAAAGTCCCACAAAGTAGATGGCTTAATCAACAGAAATGCATCGTCTCACAGTTCTGAAGGCTGGAAGATCAAGATCAAGGTGTCAGCAGGGTTGGTTCCTTCAACCAGCAGAATCTGTTCCATTGTTGACTGCTGTTTTCTGGTGTTTTGCTGGCAATCTGTGGTGGTCATTGGCTTACAGAGCCATCACCCCAATCTCTGTTCTCATCCCTTCATCTTCACACAAGTTCCCCCTGGTTGCCTGTCCCTATTCTGTGTCCAAATTTCCCCTCCTCACAAGGACACCAGTGAATTAAGACTCATCCTAACAGCTTCATTTTTACTTGATTACCTCTGTAAAGGCACGATCTCCAAATAAGTTCATGTTCTGAGGTACTGGGGATTAGAACTCCAACATACCCAATATATCTGTCGGGGAGACATAATTCAACCTGTAGCAAATGAGCATACAGGAATGGAAGGATTCCTTGGTAGCCATATTACAGCAGAAGCCCCAAGGAATACCTCTCTCTTACCTTTGAGCATGGATTTCTGGGGTACATGGTTTCAATTAGGGTCTGGAATTTTAAATGCTCCTTACAAATCATTCCACCATCACCAGCAGCCTTGGGTACAACCCGTTTTCCTATCCCCGCCTCCCCCCCCAACCAAGGGCATCTTTGGAGGCTGATTGGCGCAAAGTGGATTGGAGCTAAGAAGGTTCCTCACTGTTTCCTCCCAGAACAACGAGCAGAAGGAGGTCAGGCATAGGCACCTGACCAGCTGTAAGGCCTTGAGCAAGTTAGGCAAACTCCCTTTTGTAGTCCTTCAAATGAGGGTAATGTTAGGAGCCTGTCACTCAGGGTTGTGGTGAGGATTAAAAAGAACAAAGGATATAAAAATTGATGTCCAAGTCATCAGAACCCCCCTCCAGATGTTATTAGCATCAGTCTGCCACATCCATACAGCGGATTTAGACTCTGCTTTGTGTTGAAACATTAGTAAAGCATTGATCACAGCCAGACTTCACATGTGTGGCACACTTTAGAGTTTACAAAGCCCTTCCACACCCACCACCACAGGGAGAGGTCAGAGTAACAAAGAAGGGCTTTAGGAAGTGTATTAATTATTAAGTAATGATGGCTTCTATAAGGAAGAGACCCAAGAATACAGTGGTTCAAACATAATAGAAATTCATATCTTACCTACACAATAAAGTGGTATTCCCATTTCATAATGGCTTTCCTCCACATTGTGATTCAGGAATCAAGGCTCATTCCAATATGTGCCTCCAGCAACCATCAGGGTCTTGCAGTCATCTGCACAAAGCCAGCAGCAGAAGAAAGCCTCAGCTTGAAAACTGACATTACTTCTACTCACACACCATTGGCCAAAACCATTCGCATGGTCGCACCTAACTACAAGGGAGGCTGGGAATTACGCTCTAGCTGGGAATCCAGGAAGGGTAGGAAAGTGATTTTTGGTGAACGGCCAGCAGTCTCTGCTATGAGGGAGCTTTTTAAAGTTCTAGAAGGGATGGGTCATGTATCCCCAAGGAAGCATCATTCCGGGATGGAGGATATAGTGGGTTGACTTACTGGCCACAATTCTTCACTTCCCTGTGTAGTATTTTGCATCCATATTCTTGTCACAACTCAGGTGGGGTGTATTTTCCCACCCACTGACATCAGGCTTGAATGAAATAAAGTAGAAGTGGTAGTGTGTCTGTTTGGAGCCTCAGCTCAAAGAATTCCTGCATGTTTCCACTTCCTTGTAGTGCTTTCTCCACCTCCATTAGAAACGTTCCCCTGGATAGCTACTGCCCTTCAGCCTGGGACTGCAGAATGAACACACGAGCAGCAGACCAGCGCTCAACCCAGAGCCAAGAGCCAAACTCACCCGGACCATATCTTGAAGCACCTATCTGATCCAAGCCTAGATCAGCGAATGCCCAGCCAACTTGTAGACGCATGAGATCAGCAGCGTCATCCCAGGCAACACACACATACCCATGAGAAAGGAATACTGAATTGTTGTATGCCACTGAGGTCTCGTGGTTGTTATGCAGCACTGTCTCGGCAATAGCCAACTGGTAGAGAGAGACTAAGAGCAACCTTGCCTACCCAGGCTTTTCATAAGTTACAGCAATTCCATCTGACCAAAGAAAGAATTAGAAAACAAGAGACTACATGGCTCAAAACCTGACCTGCATAGCCATACAGTACGTGAATATTGTGTCTGAAGTCAAGGCCACACTGTATACTTCTGCCTGTCCTCTCCACAAATCCTGACTGCTGTCCTTAGGTTTCTCCACCAGGACAGGAGTCCCAGCTCTTCAGCCAACATCTTTGGCTACCATATGGTGGTCCCGATGGAACAAGGATGTATCAATGAAAAGACACTAACAGACCCAGGCACAGAATACAAGTTCCGTCGCTGTGGGTAAGCCTACAACTCTGTACACCCAGGAGTGGGAGACAGTGCAGCAGGCTCTGATGGACAGACTAGCGCCCGTGGCCCTCAGGTCCCCCCACTGAAGGAAGCCAGCTGCCGCTGTGACCACCCCCATCAAGATGAGGTTCCCAACAGGTCTGCTCAAGCAGGTCTTCTCAGACAGCACACCAAGCACCTGGAGACCTCGTGAAAATGCAGGTTCTGATTTATCAGGTCTGGCGTGGGGCCTGAGATTAAGCTGAGACTGATGCCCTTGGTCCTCAGGCCCAACTTTGAGTAGCAAAATTCCAAAGCAATGGTATGAGTCTCAACCGCACACTGGAATAACCTGGGAAGCTTTTGAAAGCACTGACGCCCGGGTCCCCCCCGAAAGGCTCTGAAGTAGGGGGCCTGGGGAGCACCTGGGCACCCTAGCCATCCCAGCGTGTAGCCACTTTCTAAAAGCACCCTTCACTGTTTTCAGGGAACGTGTCCTGGCTTGCCTCCTCTCCACTTTTCTGGAGCCTCTGGTCTCTGTTTGCCCACCCTTTATCCTACCAGGTAAGGGAATCAAATGTTTTTAACTAAAGTGATTCCCATGTTGAGAAAGACATCTCAAAAAGGCAAAATAGGAAGGCAAAAATGGAGTCCTTTAAATTGGACAAATGTGACCTTTTGAAAAATCTCACTCTCCTGCCCTTCTTTTCCTCATTCTCTGTTGCCCAGGGCAGACGCCGCCCCCCCCCCCCCCGCCCCCCGTGCTCCTTCCATCCACTGGAAAGTCGGGACAGGCTGAGCAGGGCCTTAACTAATCTACAACCCAGAGTGAGTACGTGGGAAATGTTTGCTTTTTAACTAGGATAATTTAACAGCTGTTTTAGAGCAAAACAAGGGTAGAAACACGGAAGTGGGCTTAAACTTTATGTGAATTTTTGAGGTGAAATCCCAGACTTCAGAATAATGCAGAGTTTGCTACTGAGGGCCTCTAGGTGGGGGTTGAGGGTGGGGACCAAACTTTGGAGGGCTTAGAAGGGTTGCCATATTTAGCAAATAAAAATACAGGGCACTCAGTGCAATCTGAATCTCAGACAATGAATCATTTGTTCACAGAAGCGTGGGCCCCAGTCACACGCAGTGAGTGAGTGGCACAGTTGAGTCCCCCTCCCCCCCAAGCCCCGGTCTGTCGGGTTCTTCACCATGACAGTAGGTGTACAGTTAGGCCATGAGGCAGACCCTGGTGAGCTCCAGATGACCTCAGGAATTCCGGGAATCCTCTGGA